ACTCGTGGTGATATATTTGTTATCAAAAGACACTCGGATGAGATTGTCACTATATAAACCATCTAACATATAGATATTGAAAAATATCTGGGTATGCAATGACGGAGCAAACACTATGGGACCTGATGATGAACAGATAGAGGTGTGTCGTAATACAAACAAAAAATATATACTTTTAAAAAATGCATACATAAATAAAACGTAAATGAATAAATACACAGATAAATAAATAAACAAACATTGTCACTAAGGTGACAGCGTTATGAAGCCCAAAGAGGAGAATGTCTGGATAATAGTATATGAAGTAGCCCTTCTACGGACAATTTTGTTAGAATTATGTCAAGTACTGATAAAAATGTAATATTAAGTATGGCAAGTTTTTATATAAAGTCTTTAGGATAAGAAATACAACAAATTGCAGATCTTCAGTATTTATGCTGAAATATTGTTTGATAGTTTAGTGAAGCATCTCAATTGTTATTTTACGACAGCTTCTTTGTTTCGTCTGGTAACAAGATACCTGTAACAAGACCAGCATGACTATAGTTTGGCATGAAATGCATGTGGACCCGTTTTTTTTGTAAAATATCTCTTCATCCAACGATCCAATCGATCTCAAACTGTGCAAGTGGATGTTTTGTCAAACAACCTAATCACATTGTAAATCACCGATGTTATGCATTTGTATTAAAGAATCTGTCTATGTAACTGTCAACAAAATAAACAGCAGAACGCAAACTGCTTGCAGAGGGAGGGAGCCACGGGTCATCAGTAGGGCACAGAATCGATACCACACATTTGAATCAGATACCCGACACCAAACAGGTGGTCGACAGCGTTCTACCAGACTGCACCTTTGTCTTGACTTCAGCAAGACGTCATCAGACAGCGTTCTACCAGACTGCACCTTTGTCTTGATTTTGTGAACACAAAGACGTCATCACGTAACGTAACTGTCAACACATTCAGCGACCTGCCCATCGCCGATGGCGTTAACATTTCTTCATACACAGTACTGTTCGTTAACATATTGTCTTCTTGAGGCCATAGTCTAGGCATGTATTCACAGACTCGACATCACAGGAAGGCACATTAGGATCGGGATGAAGATCATCTCTTATAAGTCGAGATACTGAAAAGATATATGATTTGCTTGTTAATGGGACAGTCTACAAACAGTCAAGTCTGGACCTGACATTCCACTGATCAACAGTCAAGTCTGGACCTGACATTCCACTGATCAACAGTCAAGTCTGGACCTGACATTCCACTGATCAACAGCATGATGAAAATACGAACCACGCAATTGGCATATGGCATGTGTCAACCAAGTCAGCAAGTCTGACCCGTTAGTCACCTCTTACGACAAGCATGGGTTGCTAAAGACGAATTCTAAGCCGGATCTCACGGGTGTTTCTGAGATAGTACAGCATCCGGGTATGCAAAGGACAACATAAGAACATAAGCACCAACCAGTCTTGGCGATGTTTCGGAGATCAGTGCATGTATCGAACTCTTGAAAATCGGTCTTGCTTTCGGGTAGGCTACACAGAGTTTCCAACGGCCTTTAGATGTTGAATATCGCCCTCCTGTTATTGTACGGGATTATCTCTTGATAGCAGGAGTAGATTATTGGATGGTGCAATTCATGTAATGAGACGTTCTGCTCTTGGTGTATCGTTTCAGGTGAACCACGCTCAGGTTTTAATGCAACCCCACCCATTTGATGGTACTTGTCCCACTGTAGAGAAATTACACACATAGGTACAATATGTGAAACCCATTTTTGGTGTCCCCGCCGTGATATTGCTGGAATATTGCGGGGGGAAAAAAGGCGCAAAATGCAACTTACTCACTTTTCTTTTGTCGATGGTCGGGAGGCCATACGTTAAGGGAGACAACTATTGTTATACACGGAACAAATATTGGGCGAAGCATGCTTAAAATATCCTTTGTCACCACTCGCCCCATTCGTCTCCACTCGCCCCATTCGTCACCACTCGCCCCATTCGTCTCCACTCGCCCCTTTCCGGAACTCCAAGAAGACTCGTCCAGCTATTGATGAGCTTTTTGTACGAAAACATGACAAACCAATCAGAGAAAGCGTGGAAGGATTGAGGTACTTCGTTGAAAATAATCCCTAGTATCTAAATCGGTTATGGCAGTATGTGATAAGTTATAAAATCATGAAAAACAAATATCGTCATTTTGACATAAAAAAACAAAGCTCACAGAATGGTGTTGCCCAACTTGACGTTTTTATAAGGATAAGGCCTTGAACAGTAAGAGATGGCAGTCCACATCCAAGCGTTTGTTTACGAAACGAATCTCGCTTTCCGACATAATGCGTATTTTGGTCCGATAGTTCAGATTGTCCTAATCTATTTCAATGTTCATAGCTGTTTTGATATGTATTAAGTGAGTGAGTGAGTGAGTGTGGTGTTACGCAGCTGTTAGCAATATTCCAGGCCACCATAGTACCACGAGCAAAGAACGCATTAAAATGAATACGCTGAACAAAATATTCATGTCTCTTGAAACGTTGGACTAAAATATTCACACTGGAGTAAAATGTAAACACGTTTAAATTCAAAGTTGATTAGTTATACATAAATATATTGTTTTGAAACCCGTTGCTGTTTTTAATTACACTACTAAAAATATTTATAACTTCTAGTACCTACCAAGGGGATTCATTTTAATTTCAACCAGGGTTATGTTAGCTAGCTCACTTACAAGGTCGGGCAACTGGTACCCTCTACCTACACTGAATCTTGACAGAACGCTCCACAAATTCTTCAGTTTGAGATATATTTTCTTACATATCATTCTTGCGTATCTCGTACGGGACATTAGAGATGAACAATATTTTTTGTTAAATACAAACATGTAAGCTGCGACTGTCTAAGGTAGCCTATGGGACCGATCATAATATATCGCTAAGGTCGGTGATGATTTTTATGGAGTAGCATTTACAATGTGAATGAATGCCCACCCCCCCACCCCCCGCCCCCAAAAAAATGTCTAAAAAAAATAACTAGATATATAAATAAATAAATGTATAAATATATAAATAAATAAATAAAAATAAAAATAAATTATTTAAATAAACAAAATACATGTATGTACGAAGTGACGCCCTCCCCCTAGTTCATGTGTACATAATTTATCCCCCACACACACAAACAAACAAAATGGGAACCCACCCACCCCTAAAATTCATCATCACCCCTACTCAAGCCCCCAGCCATAAATCATGAACGGTCCCTAAGCTACTGACTCATCAACCAACGTTTCCTTAATATGAAGAATATTTGTTTTTGTAACTCAAAGAAAAACGACAAAGATGATTATATTACAAACCATTTTTATTATGTTTTTTTTTCAGTTATAGATTTTCTTTCAAAACACTTGGTTCAAACACTTTGAGCTGTATGTATGTCAACCAGTTGTCTTTGGCACATCTACAATTCACTGCCATCGTTGAGAACAATCAGATAAAACAGGGTTGGCTAGAAACCTGAACCATGGGTGACCTTGGTGTAAGGTAGGCAACTCACAATAGAGAGTTATTCCCCTTGGGCAAGGCAGAAAACCCTGATTAGGTTTCTAGGTTTCTGAGCATGACGAAAGTCATTTTGGATTTCATGTTAGTATCAAGCATTTCCGACCATCCTCACTCCAGGCTTTCCTCCCACGGCACTTTAGTTGGAGAACTGTACAATGTTAACTCACTCACTCGAACCATGACAATATTGCCATGAATACAGTGAGTATTGCTGCTGGGGGTAGTCCAGAAAGATCGATTGCTGTACAAAGAAAGGATCCTGGTGGAACTAAGGCCTGTAACTCTGCACAATGAACACTGTGGATTCCAAAAGTCACATGGATGCATGGATGTGTGATCACAGCTAATCTTGGATATTGAGTATGACAGTTTTCAGTACACACCAGCTGTGATCAGACATTCTAAATGTTGGGGATGCAACAGATCTGCATTGTACACACAGAGATGCACTTGCATTGTGCATAGCAGATGCACTTGCAGATGCACTTGCATTGTACGCACATAGCAGATGCACTTGCATTGTACGCACATAGCAGATGCACTTGCATTGTACGCACACAGCAGATGCATTGTAGCAGCAGATGCACTTGCATTGTACGCACATAGCAGATGCACTTGCATTGCGTACACATAGCAGATGCACTGCAAAATGAATATTTCCAACAGGAGCCTAAAATACTCTGTAGCTCTCATGTCTCTGTGTGCATCATCTTAATTCTTTCTTTAAGTATTTTATATTTGGGATTACACTATCTCAGGAAAGTAACAATTCTAGTACTTTGGAGGTTGAGTCCATTGGCATGCCTCTCACTGACGAAAGCTATGAGTACACAATACCATTTAGAAAGTGACCCAACCATACACATGTTAGATTTAGGAGATAAACCTACCGTGTTTTGTAATTAGAGGTAGGATAACGGCATTATAATAGTGCAAAATTATAGTGGTATTTGTCTTAATAATTAAAGGCACGATTTCACACATTTTCAACAATATTTTGGCCTATATATATATATATATATGCGATGAATGAGTGAGTGAGTGAGTGAGATGGGTTTATATAATGAGGCATATGCACTCAAAATAGCTTCCTATTGATGGAATAAAAGAATAATTATCCCTTACAACGTGCCTGAAATTGATAATTGAAACTTTGACAGCTTACCATAAATGGAACGTAAACAATTGCTCCGTACATCGAAATTTGTCGCATACAGTGTATGCTGAACTGGTTTCAATCACAACTTGCACGTATCTTTTTGTCTAGGACTGAGTTCCGTCTCCAAAGAAGTTATAGGATATTCGTAAAGAGCGCTCCATAACTCTATTGGCTACGAAATAATGTTCGGCCGGTAGAGGGCACAAGAGTCGATTTAATGCAACGCTGGGGACAGAGTGAGTGAGTGAGTGAGTGAGTGAGTGAGTGCGTGTGTGTGTGAGTGAGTGAGATTTGTTTAATTCTGACTGAAAGAGAATAAGGTTACAACAGGATTTCAGTCAACAACTCACAGAACCTCACACATTGTTACTAGTGTCATAAATATATGTACATGCACAATGGGTAACACAACTCTTACTTCATTTGAAAAAAAACAACTCAGAAAATATCAATCCTGAGAAAATTATTGCCTCGGACAACGACATAGTTGTACAATCTGTAGCCAACCAATGACAGCACACACACACACGGCTGTAACTAATAGGGACTACCACACCATTATTATGCTATATTCATGTTACTTCGCCACATGGTCTTGTTGTCATCAGAAGAAGACCAATAGACAGACAGACAGACAGACACAGATAGATAGATAGTAATAAAAGAAATAAAATTATCAACAAGTTTGCACTAAGTGGAATTAAATGTTTTTCTATAAATTTTTGGATTACATTTTCATTATCAGTGTACTGTAACCTGTATGGAGTATGCCCATGAAGTTGTGAGGTGAAGGAGTGACATTCAAAGTAACTGGAACTTGATATCAAGAACAGTATATTTCATCAAATACCAACACAAATCAGATCAACCCCTCACTTCAAACATGGAAGGTTGAACAGTACGTCATCCAATAGCCTACAGACACTTCGTTGTTTAACAATGTCAGCATTGTCCTGTCAACATGGAGGAATCACCATTGTCTCGGGATTCACAACATGGAGGAATCACCATTGTCTCGGGAATCACAACAATGGAGGAATCACCATTGTCTCGGGAATCACAACATGGAGGAATCACCATTGTCTCGGGAATCACAACAATGGAGGAATCACCATTGTCTCGGGAATCACAACATGGAGGAATCACCATTGTCTCGGGAATCACAACATGGAGGAATCACCATTGTCTCGGGAATCACAACATGGCTATACCTGATGCAGCGTGATGGTTTTGCGACTTGCTGTGTTCCTGATGCACACTGCGAGCACTGTCAGCATGGTCCTGAGGGTTATCCTCACCATCTGTCACAAATGAAACTTTAAATCGAGGCGCATTAGGTGATCTGTGAGTCATTTTGTCACCGTGTCTTACGGGTCTTCTGTCATGGTGGTGAATAGGGCTCCTTTCAATCCGGTGTCCCGAGGGACTCATATTGGGAGTATGTCTATTGGGGTCGTCATGGTGACTCATATGGGGAGTATGTCTATTTGGGAGTATGGTGGGGTGGTGATGCTTTACCCCATTCACCATTGCAACTTTAGGTACATTTAACAAATCACCATTCTCATTATAATCAGATTTCTGAACACAATCTGTGGTTTCTACCAAGTCCTCTAATACACCTTCCCCATGATTAAATTTACGTTTGAGTTTCGGGCTTGTGCTCCTGGAACGATGACTTGTCCTCAAGCTGCGAGCGGTGCTTTTCTGATCAGTATCTTTATTTTTCTCATCGAAGAGTTCCACTTGGATCTCCACGTCCTTCATCTGCGACATCCGCTGCATGAAAGCGCGATATGAGTTGACGCTGTCGTTGTTGTGGCTGTCCAGACGTTGTAGCAGCAGGGACCTGTATGACGTCACCGTGTCATACGGCTGACAGACCTGGTTCTGGAAGGACCGAAATGAGGTTACCGTGTCATTATTTCTTTTCAAGAATGACATATACGAACTGTAGGTGTCGTAAGGTGTGGATAGGTTGGAACGGAAGTCAACATCATGGTACTCTTTGTCGCCTTCTCGTAAAATGATAAAACTTCGGTCATCATCCATAGAATCTCTGTCACTCTCCTTCAAGCTCTCTCGGAACCATGTACATCCTTTGAGACACAAGCCAACCAGGAAAGCCAGCATGGCCAAGATTGGTAGAATGGTCAGATTAACTGTGGACCTCTTGTCAACGCGTTTTGGAAGCCAGGAAAGAACATCATACGTCTTTGATGCAGAGACATCGTCTGGGGTTACAGTGTTGCTCTGCTCTTGTCTTTCATCTTGGTTTTGAACATCCACATAATTGTTAGTACTTGTTTCCATGGTGACAGGTAAAAATAAATTATCAATTTCACTTACATTCCCAGTTTTGTTCGTATCTCCAGTTCCCTGAGAATTAGATGTGTGACCATCATTAGGAAATTCCTCCAAGGATCCAAGAGTTGAGTCATTTCCTGGCAGTCTTGGAGTAACAGAGTCCACTTCACTGGCACCATGAATGGTAAAGACACATACTAATAACAGCCATTGCATGTTGTGTTTCAGCAACTCCTGGCTGCGTATCTTCATCAATATAATTCAGTTATCTTCGCTTCGCACTGGTGAAAGAGAAAGCGTGTTGAGGACTTACTTTCTTCATATCAGCTGTCGGAGGTGTTGAATGACGTCATCCAACAAGTGCTTGTTGACAGACACTGTGTCAGCTTCCATGTGAGAGGAACCTGCAACAACAACATATTGTTCATTAGACACATTTGACGTGTGTGGGTGTTGTCTACAACATGGAATTAACACTTGTACCAAACATGATTATACACACATAATTGGCAAAGACACTCAGGTAAAAGTTGATTCTTACAGTCAGGCCGGACCCCAATAGTTCGATTCTCGCGATGTCCGAACAGTAGCTGGCTGTAACCAATCTTGTTTACTATGTAAACTCATGAACTGTTGATTTATTAATCCGGTTCTTCACTCTCCGGATCCGGATGCTAATAAGCGGTAACGGATTTGCTAATTACACTTGGTACACTTTACACTACTGCAGTGGTGTACAAAATAGTTCGTTTCAGTAGTCCATATGTTTCACTATCCGAACGTTTTCAATGAAAACCGGTAGTGTTCGGATTAATGAAAATATCTTAGCATATCCTTGTAAACACATGCCAAGTTACTATTGCAAAATATAATCAAGTAGAACAGACAGCGAAGACCTTGATTACAGAATGCCATTTAGAAAGTAGTAAACGTAACATAAACTCTGTCATATTTGGGATTACACTTTCTTAGTAAAGTACAGATGCTAGTACTTTTGTTGGGTTGAATCCCATCCTGGATTCGAACTCACACCCTCAGAGTCAGCCGCCTAACCTGCTGAGCCACCACGACTTCCACAAAAATGGTAGTCTGGTAGACTAGACTGCAGACTTTGTGTACCCCTCTGATAAGTGTAAATTGGCACGGCCCCCACGGCCGTACAGGCGCTGCCGAAAGCTGTGATTACACAATGCCACTTTCTACTAGGTTAGGCGCCTGACTCCAGTTTTGGAACATGAGAGAAAACAGCTAATTTACAATTATGACTCAACCAAACTTCTTTAAAAAGAATTTACATTTGTAATAGTCGAAAACTAAGAAGTGTATGAGAATTATCCAAAATGTGTAAAACAGTTATGTTGCTATCTAACACAAACAACATGTTTTGCAAATAAATACTATACTCTGGTATAATTAATAATAATAAATAATATGTGCATATATATTGTGTTAAATACCATTCACTAGGTGACTGCTCCTAGGGCTAACAATCACGGCACATTATTACCCAAGATAACCCATGCTGCCTGTGAGGAGCTAGAAGGTTAATAGTCAAATGACTTATCCCACCGGGTACCCATTTTCTGCTTGCAGAACAGAGGCAATTTTGAACAAACACACTTGCCTATCTGTTCCAACTGCTTGGTGAAGTTGTTGAGACATATTGTATATGTGTATGTTAAGATGTATATCGTGTACATGTTGTACCTCTAGTGCCACTGATAATGGCTTGCGTGTAAAGTTCTGTTCAGTTCAGTCAGTTATTGATCTAAACAAACCAGTGAATATGTTCATCAGTGTTATAGGTTCTCTTGAGTACAACAGATACAGAGGATGACAATCCAGCCATACAAGTTAGACAGATAATTTGGGTGAGCATTTGTGAAAATATGCATACCCACTCCTTTTGATGATCCAATTAAATTCAAAACATCACATCAGCCATACTATTTCAATTTATTGTTTAAAGGTCACATGCAACGTAAAGCACAACTTTGCAGATTCTGATACCTTTCGGTATGGACTTGCCAAAACAAATCATCAAAAATGCAATTTCAACTTATAAAGTTGAAAAATAACGCGATGAAAAAACACGCACAAAATCGTAGTTCAAACGATTCACTAACTTTCCCCCAGCGCTTGGGGGAATTGAAGTGGTTTCAACAGCTGGGCTGCGCTCATAGCACATGCGCAGTGAAATAGGTTCGCGCAGCTTGGAAGCGGGTTGTCCGGTGAATACTCGGTGAAGGCTTTTGTGTGAGCTATTTTTCTAATGTTTTGTTGATATTTCACAGGCGCGAGCTTTTTATATGTTATTACAGTAGATTACCGATTTAACTGTTTATATAATTTCATTTGTCTATTTCACCACACGTTCTTCTTACCGAGTCACTTTCTCAGTTCGATACTTAAAAGCAATGTCATTATTTAGCGTTGACAGAATTTCTAACTGTGATATAGATATGTCGTTGTCACAGACAAAACTCAATGTCTGTTTATTGGCACCTATGTGTCTGCCTGCCTGTCTGCTAATGACAATATTCAATACACAATTTCAATCACTGACCACATGCAATTTGAACTTAACACCTATCAGGCTATACACCATAAACAAAACGCATTGATTTATGGCCCGAGTTCGGTCTCTGTCACATTATGTAATTAAACAGACAGGCAGGTGTGATACTTGTACACATGACATGTTATGATGTCTGTTGATTGCAAAATGTTATACACAAAAAATGAGCATGTATTTACAAAACCCAACATCTCTATATATACACACACAATGAGCCGTGAGGGCATCTGCAAATGAACCAGCCATTACACTTGAGTGCACACCCACCTGCTCTGACTGGGTTCGGTATCCTGGCTGCTTCGTTTCTTGGGAAGTAAACCCAAGTACAAAATATTGCACTTTTGATTTGCGATTGTACGCTTATAATTTTGTTTATATGTTTTTTCATAACCAGCAATGTATATTATATGTCATGAATAAGTGATAATTGTGTTTTAATTATGTTTGATTTTTTGGTTGCATATGACCTTTAATAATTCAGTAAACATCATGTAAACATGTAAACGTGTAAACTTAAAAGCCGGGGTGCAAACCTAGAAAAACCATGGGTTTCCAGTTGTCTCCCATTGGCTACCCCTCAGAAGTGGAGATGTTATCTGCCTGTGAGTGACAAGGAAGTAACGGCTATGGGTGCCTGGCAAGAGCCTGGCCATGTCAAAGGTTAACCTTGGAAATTACTACTGGAATAAACATGTGCTTTATAATAAATGTCCAACAACCCTTTCACTACATATTTTGATGACGAAAGAGATTAATTTGATTAGCATATATGAAACTTCAAATTTTACGTATTTTCTGAAACTAAAATCTTCAGGAAAGATATGTCAGCACCAGATAAGTGTACAACCCAAGCCCTGCATAACATGGTGTCAGGGGAGAGGGGGGTCATTTTCCCAGCCTGCCTGAAATATGAAAACCTGAATGAAACTTTTCCCCACTCATAGGCTTATTTCTATAGGGAAACGTACCTCCTCTTGCCACCTGACTGACAAAGTGGGAAATTCAAATCTGGATTTAAAAATAAGAAATATATTTTTAAAATGTATGTTTTGTAGACTGTCTGCATCCATGCTTTTTGCTGTGAGTCTTCATAACATACTTCTTTATACTATGACTTAATATCAGCCTGAACCGGCAAGTCAATTTTGTTATATTTCATGGAAAGGAAGCTTTGACCAGGCAATGTGGCCACACCCCATCCATTTCAATATATTGTTTAATATATCAGTAAACATCATGTAAACATGTAAAGGTGTAGCTGGGTTTCCTGAACACTGTCATGACTGCAAGAACATTTCCGCTTCATTTGTCCTGGACCCATAGACGAACTCACAACCTATGTTATCATCCACAACAGGATTTCCAGTTATGCTGCCTGACATTGAGGCTGAATGAGAGGCCTTGAAAAATAACTTGATGCAAAAAGAGGATTTGAATTATTTCAGTTGGTCAAATTTATTGCATTTTCCATTAAATACGTCATGGTGTGTATTATTTTTAGAACTTGAGCCACCAGGGCACTATGACAATATTTCGTCTGTGCCATTTAAATATTGACTGTGCATATTTAGAACTATTTCAATCCCTGGTTACAGGCACAAACATCAACAGTACCACAGGTACAAACATCAACAGTACCACAGGCACAAACATCAACAGTACCACAGGTACAAGCATCAACAGTACCACAGGTACAAACATCAACAGTAACACAGGTACAAACATCAACAGTACCACAGGTACAAACATCAACAGTACCACAGGTACAAACATCAACAGTACCACAGGCACAAACATCAACAGTACCACAGGTACAAACATCAACAGTACCACAGGCACAAACATCAACAGTACCACAGGTACAAACATCAACAGTACCACAGGTACAAACATCAACAGTACCACGGGTACAAACATCAACAGTACCACAGGTACAAACATCAACAGTACCACAGGTACAAACATCAACAGTACCACAGGTACAAACATCAACAGTACCACAGGTACAAACATCAACAGTACAAACATCAACGGTACCACGGGTACAAACAAACATCAACAGTACCACGGGTACAAACATCAACAGTACCACAGGCACAAACATCAACAGAACAACCATCAGGTACAAACATCAACAGTACCACAGGTACAAACATCAACAGTACCACAGGTACAAACATCAACAGTACCACAGGTACAAACATCACACGGGGTACAAACATCAACAGTACCACAGGTACAAACATCAACAGTACCACAGGTACAACATCACCACGGGTACAACATCAACAGTACCACAGGCACAAACATCAACAGTACCACAGGTACAAGCATCAACAGTACAAACATCAACAGTACCACGGGTACAAACATCAACAGTACCACAGGTACAAACATCAACAGTACCACAGGTACAAACATCAACAGTACCACAGGTACAAACATCAACAGTACCACAGGTACAAACATCAACAGTACCACAGGTACAAACATCAACAGTACAACAGGTACAAAGCATCATCAACAGTACCACAGGTACAAACATCAACAGTACCACAGGTACAAACATCAACAAACATACAAACAGTACCACAGGTACAAACATCAACAGTACCACAGGTACAAACATCAACAGTACCACAGGTACAAACAAGCATCAACAGTACAAACATCAACAGTACCACAGGCACAAACATCAACAGTACCACAGGTACAAACATCAACAGTACCACAGGTACAAACATCAACAGTACCACAGGTACAAGCATCAACAGTACAAACATCAACAGTACCACAAACATCAACAGTACCACAGGCACAAACATC